CCCACACCGCCCGTTCAAAGCTCTCACCTTCCCGCCTCAGGTACAGGTTGAGCCTGGCGGGGTCGGGCGAAGTCCCCGTGGCCGCTCCGATCTGGTAAATCAGCCTGAGGCAGCTCCACTCCTCAGAGTACAGCTCGGGGCTCGACAGCACTGCTTTCTCACCCTCGTGGGACGTATCCACGGAAATGTAATGCCCTGGGAACAGACACACGTCAGAATAATAAATGCCAGAGGCTTTGCTTTTACACCCCTGGACAAAAGCGCTTATTTATGAAGGGATCGTCGTACTGGGCCTAGGTCAGGAGGCTGAGACAGCCTCTCATTCGTTAAGCAAGCCACTCAACCTTTTGATGTCCCATGTACCCACAAAAACGTCACTTCGTGTGTTTCACGGTACTTTTAATCACAGTTTCAAAATTACGGGAAATCTTCAGAGAAAGATGTTATGTCAGGGTAAAGCAGATTATGAAGTAAGTATTGCCCTCCAGAACTGATAGCTGTAGATGGACACTTTAATGACAAGATAATTCACACCATCAGGAACATGCTGCGAGAATATTTAATTGTTTTACAGATCAAAAGTTTTAAACTTCATTTTTATAATTTAGGTGTTAATACTTAAAAGAACACATTGTAGCCAAAAACTTCTAAAGCCTTTCTGGTTCCAAAGAAGCAAACCAGAAAGACATCTAAAGTAGTAAAACTAGCATGTACAAATCTGCTGATTCAATAAAGTGCTAAATGTAAAGCTACATTTAAGCATACCAGCAGTCTCAATGGGATTATTTCAAAATTACTCTCTCGATGGGTATTTTTGGGGGCAGGGCCTAAAACATAACCTTCTCTATAAAAACAACAGAAAGGATGTGATGACAAGCTACAAATGCGTGACAAGGCCAAAAAAAGTCAAAGAAACAACATGTGGAAAAAGAAGGCAACAGTGAATAAATCACAGAGAAACAGAAGCCTGGTCCTGGACAATTTCCTAACACATCAAAACCAAGATCAGGGGAGTAAAATGGCATACAGGAGTTGCAGAAACCTGGAATGCAATGCCAGAAACAAGGGAAACAGAGAGAGAAAGAACATTTTTTAAAAACCCAACAAAACAACAAAACAAGCTAGAGCATCCATGTCTGCAACATTATCCCAGAGACGATCTGGAAAACGATCCTCCTGACCTAGGGGCAAAGTACATCAGACAAATGCCATTCCTGGTACTAATTCTCACCATACAAGGGTCGTAGGAACTGCCAGGGACTGTGTCGAGTCAGTCCTTCACCCAGCAGCACATCACGCTACCCTCTTGAGACTGCCCAGAGTATCCATTTCTTCTTTAATCTCATTTCACTTGACCAAAGAGCTCATCTCAGTTTTCACACATGTGTAAGCACTTGCTTAACTTGGACACATCAGCAGTCGGACTGATGTTAAAAATATTGCTTGCCTTTCAGGCATACCCTCCCCTCCCAAATCCTGCATGAACCTTCCAACTCTACCAAGCCACCTTGGGGTTGCTTCCTAGGAGCTCCGCTATTGCCTTTTCAAAAGTATCCTCTCCAATCTGCATGGACAGTCACTGTCCCCACAAGGCAAACAACAGGTCCAGATCTGGCCTACGAGATTCCCAAAGTCCTCTCCCGTACACCCCGGGGAAGATGCCGGGGGCGGGCAGCAGCTCTCGCAACACCTGATCCCTTGGGCAGGGCATGTTACAGCATCCCCTCTGCATCTGCTCCCCCTCTCACCTGCAGACTCTGTGCACAGCAACCCATTTCTACCATACATTTTTGTTTAACAGATGTAAGATAAACGATTGCTACATACTTAGGGGGTAGACGCAGCCCTAAGCAGTATAAGGGGCTGTGTAAATACAGAAAAGCTGCATTTTCTTTCCCTTTTTAGGGAATGGAATTCTTTTTTGCCTCTTACCATAATTTCTCTTTATATCTACTGTGTCTGGTTTTAGTCTCATGGAGGAATACACAAAATCACGGGTTAAGTCCAAGTAACTTGTTACTGCAGCAGCATATGAAAGAAAAATAAAACAATTTATAAAATAAATATTTAAAAATGGCACCTAATGTGCCTGCCAAATACTTAATCTGCCACTACATAAAATGTGAGTGCGTAAAACATCCGCTTGCATACAGATCTCCAGTTAGCTCACAAGAGTTATCACACACAGCATTTATTCGCTGGCATGTGCTAGTCCATGGTATGCATGTTTTTTCACAAGCACAGAGGATAAAGGTAAATCACCAAAGCTCTATCATAAGTTGAATGCTTCTTATACATCTGTTTTTAACTGATATAATCAGCAATATCCAGTTCACACTAAGAATCTGTGTTTTTAGGCTAGTCTGAATTTGGATCATTTTTCTTACAAAGAAACCTACAATTCAGAATTCATGCCTGGCAATTTCAGTTCATATTTCAGCCCTATTTTTGTCTGCACTTCATGAGAAACCCCATAGGAAACAGAGCCTTCTTGTAATACTCCTTTTTTTTTTTTTCCCTCCAAAAAATGAATTAGTGTCGACATCGGAAAATACATTAACATGAAGACCTCAAATTACTAACTACAGGGACTAAATGGCTACCTGGCTTGCCTGGCTTTAAGACTTAATTATAAGTAGACTAAACTTCTTCTACAAAGAAAGATAGTGATTTAAAAGGGAAAGAAAACCTCTTCGAGTTTCCAGTCTGGATGGTTATGTTACTCTAAACTTGACTCTGCGTTCTCTGTTTGCTGTACACTTGCTCTCACTTGGTCTGATTCCCCACTGATATGAGAGCAAAGATCATGAACTCTCTTTCTAAATAGGGTTTTTTCTTCTGGTTGTTTTTTTTTTTAAAGATTAATTTGACCTATTCATTAAGTATCCAGAAATGGAGTAATTTAATACCCAACCTGCTAATCATTTTACCGTCTTCTGGAAGTTGAAATACATGATTGGCTCCACTGAAATCAATGGAAGCACTGATAGAGAGATTTGTGTGTAAGTTTAAATGCTTTGCTAATCAGGACCAGGGAGCCAGGCACTTTGCAGTATCAAGCACAGAAAATGCTAATCTGGAACTTCTTCCAAATGAATGACGGCATTGAGTAAATGGCCTTTATACTAAGCTGTATTTCAGTAATAGCAACGACATGTCCATTGCTGCAGAATGGAAGGTCTCACAATGCAGACCTCAAAGATTGACACAGAGCAATTGTGAAAGCAAATCAATGCAAAGAGAGGGTTCCTTGGACTAAAGAAGCAGACAACTTTCCACTCTTGTTTGTGGGAGTAACAGAAGGACATTTAGCAGTCTATGGAGAATCTGATGAATGCACAGTCCGGTGGCCTGAAATCTCTCCTTAAAAATGTAACATGCAGCTTCAATTTGCAGCATGCCACATGATTTTTTCCCTCAAAATCCTCCTCCTCCAAATGCCCATAGCACTTCATTTATAGCAGTCATTCAGGAGTTATCAAGAGAGGGCTACTCTTCAAAATCACAGGAGAGCCAAAGAGAGGTAGTCACAAAATGCTAGGAAAAGCCCGATGACACAGAAACACGAGCATACAATTTCTGGCAATTCCCTAAGCAGTCTATGGGGCTGTATGGCAAGTAATGCACTTTGTACCCACATTCCTGTAATAACCTTTTACCTACAGTGTAACTTCACTGTCTTCTCCTGACAGTTGAATCAAACTGTACAGGACCAAGTACGCATTCATTTGTACATTCCTCCCTTTCCAAGCAAAATACTGAGCCCAGGAGGGATTAGGACCCAGCATTTCAAACCTATCCCTCCTCAATGCAACTATGCATTGCGGCAGTAAGACTCACAAAAAGTGACCTTTAAAATCCTTCCGTATGCATGTCTCTCATCTTGCTGCTCTAATAAGCAGTTCCGTACAGAGTCTCTCTCAATTACAGTTGGTGACACATTAACTCTGTGAGTCATTCACCCAAATTCTCTAAACCTATATTTATTTTTTTTTTGAATTTACTTACCGAATAGGCATCATTACCTCAGTCAGCAGTAATTATATCAGTGGCTTAGGGAAACGGGGGTTGAGACCAGCAATACTACTTTTTCCCCAAAACAGTGCATAAACTACACTGATTGCTTTCTGTGTAAGTAACACAAACAAGACAATATGCCAGACACTGGCTAATAAACTAAGCCAAATTCCATTGACCAAATGAAAAAAAACAACTGGGATAAGTAAAATTGCCAGTTAGCTTTTCAATTATATATTCCCTTTGTAAAAATTTGGAAGTGTAACCACAGACATGTTAGACCATTTGGGGGGTTTGTGTATCTGACACAGCTGTTCGCTTAGTTCAGCAACAGTGCAGTTTTACAAGAAAAACTGCATGTAAGCAGTAAGCTCCAGGAGAAACAGTGTTCAGGAAATATGAAACAGAAAAAGTCTGGGAATTTACATTTGATTAGGCACTCATTTATACAGAAAATTTGCAAGAAATATCTTAAAGCTGCCAGTCACATTTGGATTTTCTCTGTATTTCCCATGCAGAAACAGGAAAGAATACTACCAGCATTTCTTAGGACAAAAACTGATCTACTGATACCCTCTCTGAATCTCAGGGTCCGGAGTTTGCATGGTGGCGTTAGGGTTTTTAAAATCTTCTACTGCCCCCCCAAAAAAAAGAAAAAAAGAAAAAAAAAGGCAGCAAAGCAGTTAATTTTCTAGGACGTATTAAGCCTTCTTACATCCCCAGGAAAAGTTAATTAAAAAAATTAATGATACATCCAGAGACTTATGATTTTGCAAATGGAGTTTGCACATGGAGGCTATGCCTGGGTATAGATGAGGCTTAGATGCAGGTTCAGAGTTTGAGTTAAGAACACAGAAATTCTACCAGCTACTTCCTATGAGATTTTGGGTGCACCAGATAGGAAAGCTTCAGTCTCAACACTCCGCTTTTCATTCGTTTTCAGTAGAAAGTGAACTTTTCACTTTTAGTGGACATTTCTTGCTGCCAGTTTTTCTTGAAAAACAGAACTGTGTGGATCAACATTAAATTTGTTCTATCCACGAAAAGTTGAGGTTTTCTTAAAAAAAGTCTTCCTCTAATCAGGAACAGTCACTGTGCATTTTGGAAAGGGTTTTTGGAGTGAAGAGCTGGAGGGTGAGGTGGGTTTTTTTGAGTTTTTTTTTAGGCAGTGCCTTAGGAAACCAAAAAATTGCATGAGCAAGCAACTTTTCACTTGGAAGCAAATGTTTTACCCTACAACTCCATGAAAAAAGTAAAAGTAAATCCCCAAGCTGATCAAACACACAAAAGCCTGCACAAACATTTCAACTGGGCTCACAATACTATGCTGGGATTAGAGAATCATCTTAAAATGCAACGATTCAGGCGAATTTCTACAAGAAGTAAAATTAATGCAGTTTGTAACACATTAATACTTTTTGACCTACAAGTAGCGGGCGGTTACCGGAGCTGGAGGTCTTTGCAGCAAGTTTTGGTCCACGCAGCCTTGAAAGCTATGCAGCATATCCACCACGCCGCACACGGGGCTGAGCACCAAAGCCTGGCCAGCACTCATGAAGGTAGAGACTCAGTCCCGTGGCATCCAGGGCGGTGCCATGATTACATCTGCCTGACCCCTCAGGGCATAACTGGCATTTTCATCCCCATCGAGCCGCAGATGGCTTTATTTCTAGTAAGCTGTTAGATTCACACCGGCAGAACTGCATGATATATGCTGGACCCAGTTAGCGCGTCATCATAGGAAAAAACTTTTTGGCCTTTAAACCTCATTGTCTCCTCTGTGATTTCTTAAAAGCAGCTCTGTGAAAACAGCTGAAGGATGGAGAAGCAGGACGTGGTCCGTGTTTGTTGTCTGCAGCAACCAACACGTGCTGCTACTGCCAAGGCTTCTCCTCCCCTTGTGTCCACAGGGGCACCTCAAGCCTAAGGCTGTCACTGTTCTGCAGCAAAACCCCGTGGTCCTGCCTGGCCCTGCCAGCTGCACGAAGCCCCATCACTGCCTGGGCCCCAGCACCCTCTGACATCTGCTACCCAGCTTCTTCAGGGGGAACAATGCGGTTTCCAGGCAAATTTCACTAAGCGGAGTAGTATTTATTAAAAACAAAAGCGTTTTGTAGAAAAGCAGAGCCTCGGGGGGTGAACGCGGGGGCAGTTCGCTCAGGCAGTCATGCACCTTCCTCCGGATGGGCTGGACAGACGGACAGCCCTGGCAACAGGGCCCCCCCGCCAGCTTTCTCTCCAGCTCACCTTACTTTACAAACCAAGTCTCCCTCTGGGGACTGGGATTTATCCTTTGACCCTTGCCTTGCTGCGGCCACCAGACTGGGCCAGAGAGCTCATGTTTCCCAACCCCGCGGGATGAACCTTCAAAGGCTCCTTGCCCAGGGGAGGGCTTGGAATAACTACCAGCCACACCTCCTGCCCTGTTCTTTGCTACCCCAGAAAGTTCACAAATGCAGCTGTTTGCAAGCCTGCCAAAAAGCATAAAAGTGATACAATTAGCTTTGAAACACTGTTGTGACTGAAGTGCCTGGTCGCAGCTACTACCACGCTGGCAATGCCTTCCAGCGTGCCGGCGAGGGTCTGGTGAAAGTCGAGCTCGCGCTGCTGCCTCCTGCTTCTGATTTAGAGGAGTTGCTCCGCTGCCTTGGGGATGCCCGAACTTTTGTAAGAGTCCTCTGGCAACAGCTGGGT